TATACGTCACGTATTGGTACACTTTTAAGTGAAAATTCACTAAAAAGTGACGTCACGAGCCCCTACTCCCAAACTTTGACGCGTTATAACTTTGTAATTTATTGGTTGATTGCCCAAAGCAAAAATACGTGTCCATTATTTTTTGATCATCTAACTGACGGACTAAATAGGATTTCGTTTACTGTACTCCGTCATCACCCCTATTATCATAAGAACACAACTGAGAAAAATAATCTTAAAAGTAACATGAACACGGAAATGTTTGCGAAGGGAAATTACCCTGCTAATACACTACCTCACCGGTTCCCCCTCGCTCGGTAATAATGCATAACAATAAAGTTAGTCTATCACCCAGTTATTGTTAAAACAAAAATAAACAACGTCAACATTGGCTTAATTAGATCACCTATGAATATGGCGCGCAAGATGGCTGCCGCATTCGCGCCATCTGTCGCTTGTAAAACGAATTTATTTATATATCTAATTGCTCCGTACGGGAATGGTCGACCCGTATGCACTTAATTCCGTTAATATTAACGCTAAAAGCGCGTTTCAGCTTAAAACAAGGGTTATTGCGCGAATTGTCGTGAAGTTTTACGGTTCTGATGGGGTTTTAGAGCCATCTATCTTTTTATCACGAGAACTGTGTTATTATTGCTAATTTACAAGAGATCATTGCTGGAATAGGAAGGAAGGCTTTGTGAGGGGATCACATTCCTAAAGATATTCCTTTATGTAATTGCATGTAAATTGAAAATTTATTTAATCTTTAATGCCTTTACAATGCATATGGCGGACTTAATGCCAGCATGGCATTCTCTACCAGTCAACCGGAAAGAACGTGCAGAGTCAATAAAACGGCAGACAATCATAAGAAAGAGCAAACATCAAACAATAAAAAAACAAAATAAAATAGCGTTTAATACATACACATATACATACATACAAACATAAAAATAAATACATACACATACATAATATACCTATAATATAGTGTCCGATTTTAGTATCCTGATTCAGCTTAAGCACTATGCAATAAATTCAAATAATGTTCCCGCACCGAACTCTTAAAAACCGTCCTGTTTGGAGCGTTTCGAACGTCTAGAGGAAGTGTGAATAAGTGTGAATGAACTGGAGACAAACCTAGTATGGTGAATCGGTACTTCAAGTATCAAGTTATCATTTGAGCGGAGATTTAATCGATGGGAAGACCCTAGAAACTGAAACTGAGATTTCAGATATCCAGGTGTGCGTGCAAAATGTAGGCTGGCTGGAGTGGGCTGGATGAGAGTAGCACAAAATCGGGAGCAGTGGCGTGCATAAGGTGCATAATATGGTCGCCCGTAGGTTTAGTCGGTGTAGCAGGCAGGTAAAATTGACGCTGTTCAATGCCTATTGTGTCAGTTTCTACACCAGTCAACTGTGGATAAAGTACAGCAGGAGGTCGTATAATACCATCAGGGTTCAATATAATGATATTTTTCGTATCCTGATGGGTCTGCCGAGATTTTGCAGTGCTTCTACAATGTTCGCGGAGGCTGGGGTATCGGACTTCTATGCTGTTATTAGGGCGCGCATAGCTTCTTTTTGGGAGGGACTGCGTTGCTCTGGTAACAGCATACTAAAATGTTTGTACGCGGATTTTAACAATCCAATTTATAGATATTGGCTATCTGTGCATACGGATGGAAATCGCAAATAGAAGATTGACGTTGTTATTATAATAATGTAAATGTATTTTTAATTAGTTTTTATATTTTTTATAAAGTATCATGTTTTAAATATGGGTCTTAGCTACCTGCAATAAATGATTTTATTATTATTATTATTATTATAAGGGGAGACCTATGTCCAGCAGTGGACGAACATGGGTTGATGATGATGATGATGATGTTGATGAAATTGAAAATGTACTTACTTGAATTTTAAGCCTACTGTGTCACATAAAATTATTTTGATTTTGTTTTTTTTTGTTCCTAAGTATTAATAATAAAACATGATTTCAATAGATATTTGAGAATAGCAAGTGTAAATGAATACTTCAACAAAAGTTTAAGGTGGAGTTAACTTTATTAAACAAACTACAAAACAAAACACAACAAAATGACCCACCCTAGTTAACTGTTTTATATTTATCCTAACAAAACCACATTCACTCAGACAATACAATAAAGAAACTTCTGTTTTATTTCATCATCATCAGCCTATTAATGTCCTCACTGCTGGGGCACAGGCCTTCCCTATAAAAGGAATAGGGAGATTGGGCCGTGACCCACCACGCGGGGCCAGTGCGGATTGGTGGGTGCTAACGATGGTGTAGATTCATCCGCGATCAACTCCTTAATATGCCTTCTGAAGCACGGAGTAACTCGAGATAGAAAATTTTTGGTCACCCATCCAATGACCGACCACTGCGAAACTTGCTTAACTTCAACGATCGCAGCCGGACGCGCTAATTAACTGCGCCATAGATCTCCTCCTGTTTGATTTACTTAGGTATAAATAGTAAATACTGATCCATCAAACAATTCAACCACAAAAAATTATCACCACTGACGTTATCGTAAAACACTGTCTTATAGGATTTTTTTATGTAATAGGACTGGCAAACTACCATAAGGCCGCCTCATGGTAAGCGGTCACCATACTTATCCCATAAAAGTTTGCATTACCAGAGTACAGGGTATCGCACATTGAATACTCTGAAGTTCGCACGTGTTCCCTCCTTCCTACAATCTAGGGTCTTTTAAGAAAGGCGTGAAGAAGCATCTTTGCAGGCCGGCAAGGTGAGGATGGTTGGTGTGGCAGTTTATAACTGCTGTACCAGCTATCTTCGCGTTTGGCCTTTATCAACACTTAACATTAGGTAGGGTAGAGTCATTTGCCTACCTGGGTATATATATAAAAAAAATGGGTGCGTGTACTTATGTAGGCGCGTGAGAAGTTATCCTTCTTTGGCATCGTTTAAAATTAGTTTTTAATTGCATGCAAATAATTAATTACAATAAATTAATAAAAAGTCTGGAAAAGGACACAGTCAATAAAGTTCAGTTTTAATTTGAAAAAATAAATAAATAATCAAAATATTCAATTAAAATCGCTACTGAATATAATTTTTTAGAACATATGTGATTTGCACTTGTATGAAACTCAAACACGTATTCCGAATATACAAACTAGAAACATGTGGATAAATATTATAAATATGAATACCTATAACTGTTACTTTATTACAAAAAATAAAGATGTGGTTTTTGGTTCTACTACACCAATAGTCAAGAGATGGCGCTGTAGTCTCCTGAATCGCGCTTTGGTTCCGTTGTTCCAGATTAATAAATACTTTTGATAGGTTTTCACAATGCAGTCGTTAGCACCCACTAAATAAAGATTCTATTTCTATTTTGTTGGTAGATTTTCTTAATGTGCGGTAAACACAAAAGTAACGCATGAAGTTGGTCGCTAAAGCGACCCACACACAAACATCTGCCCCCACCGGGATTCGAACCCGTACCTCTCCACCTGACCACAGAGGTCGTCAAATATTAAATACATTCTACAAGGTGACGAATTAAACTCATTCCGACAACTTCTCTTACATCGAAGTTGTAGAAATATTTATCTCATATAATCTACCCTACTAGAACTGTACCAACAAATCATTCATTATGGCATACTAGAAAGTGTAATAAAAACCACACATTGCCGATTCTTAAAATCAAATTATCGCAACCACCCTGCCTCGAGCTGGGGAGGCAAGATACCATTAGTCCCTAGAATAGCCATAAACTGCCGCATATTAATGCATTACAACATTAGAATAAGCCAATAGATACTTTCAATTTGGTCAGAAGTAAAAATGAGTAACTGGAAATAATAAATAAATAAATATTTCCAATACTCAAACCAATTAGCCTAGCCACAAAGTAAGCACTGTAAGGCTTGTGTTTTGAGATACTAGAGTAACGAATAGAATACATATAGTGTACTTAAATAAGTATATTTATATAGAAATACACATTAAACATCTACAAATTCATTACACAAACAACTGCCCCCACCGGAACCTCTCGGGTCGGCGACACAATGAAACCCGGCATACAAACCACTCGACCACCGAGGTCGTCAAATTATCGTTTTGAAACGTACAAATACGATGGCTCAGTGGTTAGTGCTTTCGGTCTGTAGAGTTTAAGCAACTTCCTCAATGGCTGGTCATCGTATGGATGACCTAAAATTTACTATCTTGGCCGTGCTTTGGAAGGGCATGTTAATATTATAAATATTCTAAGATAGTTTCTTAGGTTTTCACGCACACCGCTCATTAAATAAAACAAGTTTCAACGGTATAGAATTATAGATTCACTGATTTATTTATAAATAATAATTCTGACGACGCAGCATGAAAAGGCGCATCCTTTTCATCGTCATAAAAAAATAAATTAGTGCATCTATACCGTTGAAACTTGTTTTATTTATTTTAAGAGAGGTAGAGCATAATGGCGCGAATCATCACGCTGTCTGATAAAGTGTTATTTTTTACTATATATTGTATAAAATATCCCCATGGACCAGGCAGCAGACGAGACCTGAACCCGCACCCTCCGCTATTTGGGCAGATGCACCGACCAATTATGCTACCGCGGCCCTAATGTCGGTGTCGAATTTTCTCTGGTATTTCTTAGGCTGAAAGGCATTGTGGGTTACCTGCCATGCGAAGACATGGTGCTGCCTTAGAGACACTAGATAAAATTCGCCCCGAACATTAGGGCCGCGGTAGCGTAATTTGTCATTGCATCTGCCCGAATAGCGAAGGGGACGGTGCGGTCCGCGTCTTGTCTGCTGCCGTGCCGTGGATTTTTTTCTTATATTTTTTTCCAATGAATACTATTCTGTAGTACTTAATTATGGTTGAGGACGCTCCACGCGGTAGGGGTATAACGTTTGCGCTAGTAAAGCGAACATCCGTGGAAGCGTCTTTGTCTTCACCGCATAACCTAAAATCAAGTTAAGCTAAGTTGTTTACAAGCCACCTGAAAAAAACATTAAAACAGTATCAAGGCAACTTATACAAATAGCGATGATATTTTTAGGATCATGAAGTTTCAATAAATAATTTGACCACAAAAATCCAATAACTAATAATGCCACTTACCTCTTTCGAGTATCATCGTCGAACAACATGGCACCCCATCATAAATCGTAGTTTATAAGTACGACACGGCGTAACTGACGAGTTTCACTTTTTATTGCCTCTGTCTAGTCATTACAGGCGTAGCGGGAGGGAGCAGCGCCATCTATCAGGAGAATATTGCTGTTTATTTGTTTTCGTTGGGGATAATATTTTCCGAAGAACAACGGCGTATTGTATTATCGGGTGATTTGTGAGGAGTTCAGTTGTTTTTTATGTTTTCGAGTGCGATTACTACGTTTTGACTTACGGCAATAGGTTTTTGGAAGTTAGCTAGCAGGGGCAGACGCTGTGGACGGATTGCGATGGAAGATGGAAAAGGTTGTTAAGGAAAATCTGATTTGACAATAACAATATTTTATTAGAAAAAAAAGTGTGAGCTCGTAAAAAGTGTGGGATCGATACCGCTTATTTGGTTTCTGGTATTATTTAAGTATAACAGACAGTAACAGTTGTAGTTCATCGTAAAGTAAATCAAACAAACTTTATATTTTATTATTTGAAAAAGAAAGAATAAATATTTATTTCTTTATTTTTGTTACTTGAAAGCAAAGGATGCTTAGTCCATACATCCTTTCAAGTAATAAAAAAAGAAATAACTCACATGATATGATATGAAGAAATAACTCACACAACATGTCTTTTTTGTGTCACTAAACAGGTTCTGCCAGAATAACAGCGCTGGTGCGATACAATGTCGCATCAGCTAATGCTGCGGCAGAGTCCTGGTTAGCCCTGTGTTTTTTAAATTTGTATCTGTAAATGTATAATCTCTGTAATATGAGGGTTAATAAAATATATTCTATTCTATTCTATTTATTAGGCAAAGAAAATAGTGAATAAGTTATATTAATAAGCTTATGATTAAAATTTCCGATATCAATAAGTATAGATATATGATTCCATAAATAACAAGAAAACAGAATAATGTTTATACGCCCACAACCCTTTCATTAGCTATATACAATTAAATTTAGAATTTCTCGGGATCAAACTGTTAGCATCTTTATCCAAAGAGTACCTAACGCAAAACGCACTTGTATAAAAAGAAATGTTCCATACACTAACTCCATCTATCGACAAAAGTACAAAACGAGGCCGGGTGGCGCAGCGCATTTAACTAAAAGTTAATCATTCCACCGCGGACCCGTTTAGGGGCATAATCGTCACGCTCACGCCACGTAATACCTAATTCAGTTTTACGAAACGTATCAAACTTTCGTAATTACCGTGAACGAACCACGACAACTGCAGTCCCAATTACGTTTTGTTACAAAATAACATTTATTGCTTGCTACACTTGTTATCGCAGGCATTGTAACTTGTCTCATTTGTTCATTTTCATAAACTAGTCGCAGGAAATATTCCCTAACCCGCTGATGACAAAAAAACACATCTGAAATCATTTTTATTAGAACAACAGAAAATTGGAAAAAAAGTTTGGTGATTCATTTCTTTGTCGCACTACGTGTTCCCTCCCTCTTACAACCTGGGATCCTTTCAAAAGAGGCGTGAAGTAGCAACATGCAGGCCGGCAGGGTAAAGATGGCTGGTTCTGGCAGGTATAACTGCTGTATCAGCTATCGCATCTGGACTTCACCGTCACTTAACATCAGGTGGGGTGGAGTCATTTGTCGGATTAATCTATAAAAAAAGACGTATACTTCTCCCATACCTGGGCGACGAAGCTTCGGTACTAAATTACTGCCCTAATGTATTGGTAGTGATACTAATGTACAGCGCTACAATTAGCCCTCGAAATAAGAATTAATTCCATCGTAAACTGAGTTTAATTTACTACGTCTCCAAGTTCAGTTGTGAGTGTCAGGAATTACAGAAGGACAAAAACCGTGATTCACCTAACTTATGACCGCAATTCGTAAACGTTCTTTAACTCCCAACAACGCACACCCAATACGTTAATACCGTAAGCCCACAAAAATCGTAAATACCATTGGGTAGTGTTTAGTATTATTAACATGTGTTATTAAGTAATAAACATAGTTCTTGGTAATTGGCTCCGTCCGTCGTTGGCCGACTAACTAGTTGTCACAGTCCCAGCGTTGGGCAACTGAACGTTTTATTCTTCACCAAGCACAAGAGTTAATTGTGTAAACCCTTGTCCGTCCCTAGTTTTAAACGACAATTTATTTTGAATATTACATACGAGATATTGTACAGGGTGGTTTCCTTATTCGTTTGAGAAGTCGCCATAACTATCACAAAAAACAATAGATATTTTTTTAAATGTTTTTTTTTATGGATTTGTAAGATCGCAGTGATTTTAATCGCTTCGTCGGTGATGAGTTTGCTCACTATACGAGAATGATCATTTTATTATAACGCGGTGTTAGTAGAATCATAATTATATTTTCAAGAATAAATCTGTAACTATAATGAAGTACCAAAATATAGACTCCTATGCGAAAAACCGGGCATCCATAATAAATTAATAAATTTAGGACCCAAAACCCAATTTTAGTTTTGTACATTAATCTAGTAAATTCTAGCGTTTTTGCATCAGTTTTCTATTACATGAATGAAATAAAAATAAATTAATTTTGGCATCATCATCATCATCAGCGTATTGATGTCCCCAATGTTGGGGCACAGGCCTTCCTTATGACGCGCGGGCCCAGTGCGGATTGGCGGGTGCTAATGACTGCAGATGCAGCCGAGACCAACGGCTTAACGTGCCTTCTAAAGCTCGGAACAACTCGAGATAAATGCTTTTTGGTCACCCATCCAATGACCGACCACTGCAAAAGTTGCATAACTTAATCGATCGCAGCCGAACGCGCTAACCACCTGCGCCATTGAGCTCCTCTATTTTGGCATAATTTGAAATAAAATTGCAATCACGTTATTACTTTATATACTTAATAAATCTTCAACAAACCATTTTTTAGAAATTGTCTGGTTCTAAAGAAAATATAACTAGAATAAATTCCACCCGGACCAGGCAGCAGACGGGACTCGAACCCGCACCCTTCGCAATCCGTGCGAATGCACTGACCAATTATGCTACCGCGGCCCAGTCATCAAGCAGTTACATGCTTTAAAATAATAAAAAATACGATTGTCTGGTTGTTTAATATTTTAGTAACATCCTGTACATCGTGCCTTTCAAACATAAAATTAAATTTATATGACAAACTATTGTTTAAAATTCAAATTGTACGTGTGAAATCTTGCCCCGGCTTAATTGTATTGACCAACCCTCCCTTAATTCTGCGGGAGGGGGTGGATCTGACCGTGTGAGGAACACAACAATACTGTCATACAGATAGAAGCCTCCTTCAACCCTCCTAATGGCCTTAATAAAGGTACGACTCCGTGTCGTTTCATATTTATGATTTTATTTCGATATATTTAATTAAAATTTTAGTGTAGGGTCGGATTGCCAGGTATAATTTAGATGGGACACTTGGCAAAAACCTTTTAGGGACACGTATTATCGTAATGTTCTACCGTTTCTGATAAACATATTCGATCCATGGGAGAGGGATAAAAACGATAGCTGGGTTTTTTGGGTTCTCAATGTAACAAATTAGATACCAAATTACAGGTTACAGAAGGTTCATAAATCATTCATGGGTCAAGGTATACATTTCTATAATAAGATTCCTATTGATATACTCGATTTGCCTCCTAATAAATTTAAAATACACATTAGGAATTGCTTTCTTAAGAAAGGATATTATGCTGTCAATCAATATTTGAATGATAAAACGGCATGGTTGTAATTTTACCTGTAGATAATTTTTCAAAAGTTATATTAAAACTAAGGCTCCCAGCCTTAGAAAGAGTTTTGAAGAGAACCTTGCACTTACTCCCTTTCATATACTTGTTCATTTTGTTTTGAAAATTGTTTCTTGCTATTTTTAGACTTTTCTTTGCACTTATTGTTAGTAAATTCGTTGATTGTCTATTGTTACATATTTGATATTATGTGATGGAAGTTAACCTCAACACATGTTTGCAAGTTTGATGTCAACTTTCAATTGGACGACAATGTATGAAATAAAACAGGGAGAAAAAATCAGCCCTTGCTGAGTTTCTTGCCGGTTCTTCTCAGTACAAGGTCTCCCGCGTAGATTTGCGAACCGATGGCGTAGCTTTTCGACATTCACAAGTGCTTGTAACAGCCTAGACTGAATAAACGATATTAAATTTTGAATTTTTTGCATTTTAGATTTAAGGTTATTTACTGTTTATTTTTTACTAACTGTATTCAAATACTTTAGAAGTAAGACTTCTTTTCGGACGGGGTTTAAATGGAAAAATCCTATAGAAAAAATATAAATACATAATAACTATTTCCAACACTCACACCAATTAGCCTAGTACCAAAGTAAGCACTGTAAGGCTTGTGTTATGGGAGACTAAGAGTAACGGATAGAATACATATACTAAAATTTAATAAGTATATTTATATAGAAATATATATTAAAAATCCATGACTGGAGTACAAATGCTGGTATTTATCACACAAACATCTGCCCACGGGACTTCTCGAGTCGGCGACACTATTAAAAAAGCGGCGTACAAACCACTCGGCAACGGAGGTCGTCATGGTCGTCATGGAAGAAACGGAAATGCGTCACGAGCGTCACGCGGCTATATATGTATATGTGTGTGTGCGGGTTACGTGCGCAGCGCTTCCGACGAGCATGAAAGATAAAGATGGTAACCCAGCAAAGGCTGAAACGCTACGCGATACATATACACTTCTGGACACATCTATTGGCCCACCTTGTATTTTCAGTTTCTTTTGGTCCTAGCTAATATTTTATATTAGGTCGAGCAAAAAGTTTTTATGCAGTTTTGAACCTGGCACATTCACAATTTCATTCAATAGTCTTTTTTGAATTTCGAACACAGAATTTAAAGAAACAAAAGACAATTTGGAGCCTGTTTGTTGATATCAAACAATCGAATACTAAGAAAACTTGGTTTTATTGGTTTACTTGGATTTAATTCTTGAAAAAGTGATTGATATCTTTGGTTTTGTAACAAACATTACTTATTCTTAACATTAAGGTGAGATTCTATCAATAATCTATGGATACTTCACCTGAAGTCGCCGCCCAAGCTGTGGCACTTATTCAGGCCGGACACAGCCAAAGAAACGTGAGTGCTCAACTTAATTTAAGTCGATCTGCGGTCCGAAATGTTTATCGGAGGTACCTAGAGACTGGCGGCATTGTTCGTCGCCAAGGAAGGTCACAACTGAAAGGCAGGATCGATTCATCGTGACGACCAGCTTGAGAAATCGTCACCTTACCTCCATTGAGATACAAAAACAAATTCGCGACTTTCACGGAGTATCTGTGAGCGCTCGAACTGTTCGGAGAAGGTTAAAAGAACGCGATATGGTACCACACAAGCCAGCTAATGGGCCCAAACTAACGCGAGCCCACCGCACAGCGCCTTCATTCCGCACGCAGTCATTTAAATTGGACACAGCAAGATTGGAGCCGTGTACTCTTTTCTGATGAGTCTAAAATTGTGTTACATGCCAATGATGGAAGGAAGAAGGTCTACCGACGTAAGGGGGAGCGTTTCGCACAATGCTGCTTTGCAGAGAGGGTTGCTTATGGCGGTGGCTCATGGACCGTCTGGGGCGGTATATCCGCGAGCGGCAAAACTCAACTTGAGGTTGTAACAAGACCACGGCTGCCAACATTAAATGCTGAAAGGTACATTCGTGAGTGCTTAGAACCTCACGTGATACCATACGCGGACTATGTGGGCCCAAATTTCCTTTTTATGCATGATAATGCAAGAGCCCATGCGGCCGGCATCGTCAGGGAATATCTTCGGGATGTGAACATCACAGTTATGGACTGGCCAGCCAGAAGCCCAGACATGAACCCCATTGAGCATATGTGGGACGAGCTAAAAAGACGTGTTAGGGCTCGTCAGCCAGTTGCCCAGACGATGCAGGAGTTGAAAACTGCCATAGAAGAGGAATGGGAGATGATCCTTCAAAATTTCATAGAGCGGTTGATAAACTCTATGCCTAATCGTATAAGAGCTGTGGTAGATGCCCATGGAGGCAACACGCGTTATTAAATTAAACCTTTATTTGATAAAACATGTTTTTTATTCAAAAATCAATTGCCTTTAACAAGGCGCATATCCGACTTGTTAGGCGTAGCTCCATGTCGTATGGTATTCTAAATTCAAATTTAAAACAATACGATTGAAAAAGATGGTAAAATGTATCAGGTTTAAAACTGCATCAACAATTTTTGTTCAATCTAGCAATCATATTTCGGTAGGGGCCATCGAAACCTAAACTCTAAGGTGGGCCAATAGATGTGTCCAGAAGTGTACATATATGAGTGATGCGTGCGCTGCTTCATTTCCCTATGCCTTATGCACCGCCTTATGCATCGCCTTATGCACCGCCTTATGTACCGCCTTATGCACCGCCTTATGCACCGCCTTATGCACCGCCTTATGCATCGCCTTATGCATCGCCTTATGCATCGCCTTATGCATCGCCTTATGCACCGCCTTATGCACCGCCTTATGTACCGCCTTATGCACCGCCTTATGCACCGCCTTATGCATCGCCTTATGCATCGCCTTATGCACCGCCTTATGCACCGCCTTATGTACCGCCTTATGCACCGCCTTATGTACCGCCTTATGCACCGCCTTATGCACCGCCTTATGCATCGCCTTATGCATCGCCTTATGCATCGCCTTATGCATCGCCTTATGCACCGCCTTATGCACCGCCTTATGTACCGCCTTATGCACCGCCTTATGCACCGCCTTATGCATCGCCTTATGCATCGCCTTATGTACCGCCTTATGCACCGCCTTATGCACCGCCTTATGCACCGCCTTATGTACCGTTTTTTGCACCGCCTTACGCACCGCCTTATGCACCGCCTTATGTACCGCCTTATGCACCGCCTTATGCACCGCCTTATGCACCGCCTTATGCACCGCCTTATGTACCGCCTTATGCACCGCCTTATGCACCGCCTTATGCACCGCCTTATGCACCGCCTTATGCACCGCCTTATGCACCGCCTTATGCACCGCCTTATGCACCGCCTTATGCACCGCCTTATGTACCGTTTTTTGCACCGCCTTATGCACCGCCTTATGTACCGTTTTTTGCACCGCCTTATGCACCGCCTTATGCACCGCCTTATGCACCGCCTAATGCATCGCCTTATGCACCGCCTTATGTACCGCCTTATGCACCGCTTTATGCACCGCCTTATGCACCGCCTTATGCACCGCCTTATGCACCGCCTTATGCACCGCCTTATGCACCGCCTTATGCACCGCCTTATGTACCGTTTTTTGCACCGCCTTATGCACCGCCTTATGCACCGCCTTATGCACCGCCTTATGCACCGCCTTATGCACCGCCTTATGCACCGCCTTATGCACCGCCTTATGCACCGCCTTATGCACCGCCTTATGCACCGCCTTATGCACCGCCTTATGCACCGCCTTATGCACCGCCTTATGCACCGCCTTATGTACCGTTTTTTGCACCGCCTTATGCACCGCCTTATGCACCGCCTTATGCACCGCCTTATGTACCGTTTTTTGCACCGCCTTATGCACCGCCTTATGCACCGCCTTATGCATCGCCTTATGCACCGCCTTATGTACCGCCTTATGCATCGCCTTATGCACCACCTAATGTTAGGTTATTTTGTTAGGTAATTTTAAATCACACGGCGGATCCCAAGCTGAAACGTGTTGCTCTTACAGAATAGTACTACTGGTACATAGTTCGTTATAAATAAAAATAAATTAAATATTTCCAACTTTCAGGCCAATTAGCCTAGCCCCAAAGTAAGCACTGTAAGGCTTGTGTTAAGGGATACTAGGGTAACGGATAGAATACATAGTACTGATACATATATAAGTATATTTATATAGAAATACATATCAAACATCCATGACTGAAGTACTCGTATTCATCACACAAACATCTGCCTCCACCGGGATTCGAACCTGGAACCTCTCGAGTCGGCGACACCTTGAAACCCGGCGTACAAACCACTCAGCCACGGAGGTCGTCAAATACTTACTTTAAATATATATTATTTCGAACGGGTGCTACCAGCGGGGATGAGTATACTCTATACTGCGTAACTCTTGAGATGTTATCTTTTATACCTAATATGAGCACTGTTTGTATTTATTCTGTACTAGAGGCCCGCCCTCGCTTCGCTTCGGTGTAGAGCTGAAGTGTAGACTACAGTTTTTGTTCTCAGACTTGTATTATACACAATGAAATATCAGAATGCAGAAACGGGCCATACGTGCTATTGTTAAAATAAGGTCGGATGAATCAGCACGACCTTATTTCAAAGAACTCGGAATTTTAACTCTTCCGTCGATAGTAATCCTTCAAGTTGCTATATTTGTGCGAACAAATTTACAATTATATAGTAAAAACAGTGACAAGCATTCACACTATACTCGAGGTACGAACAAGCTGACCAGTGAGCAGAGAACTTTGGTCAAATCGGGCAGGCTAACTCATGTCATGGGTTCGACGGTATATAACTTGTTACCTAAATTGGTCACTGACGCCAAGTCGCTTAATAATTTTAAACATAAATTAAAATTATGGCTCATTGACAGAACCTTTTATAGTGTCGATGAATTTTTAAATGATAGATCCTTACATTAATTGGACTAATTATTTTTTATAATATTGAATGATTATTAATTTATTAATTCATTTTATTTTTTGTTTTATTATTTCTATTTGACATTTGTATTTTGACATATTTGTATTTGACATTTTGTAAAAATATTGTATTTTAATTGTTTTGACTCTCTATCTAATTTGAAATATTGAATTAATTGAATGATCACTTAGTACTTTATGTATTTTCTGCTATGTTTATTATTGACGTGTAATTTATTACGAAATAAATGATTATGATTATGATTATGACATTCATCTATGATTCTTCTTATACCTGCATGCAAAGTCTCAGCCCGATCGGTTTAAAATTGACAAAGTTTCATACGAACTTTCATTCCTTATTTTATCCCCTTGGGGGTAGAATTGATCAAAATCCTTTCTTAGCGGATGCCTACGTCATAAGATCTACCTGCATGCCAAATTTCAGTCCGATCCGTCCAGTGGTGTGGGCTGTGCGTTGATAGATCACTATGTCAGTCAGTCAGTCCTTTGAGTTTTATATATATACTAGCTGACCCAGCGAACTTCGTACCGCCATAAAAAAAAATAATTAAAAAAACATTGTCCAGCGGACAAAATTGTGAATCTAAACCATTCTCAGATCCCCTTGAACACACACAAAAAATTTCATCAAAATCGGTCCAGTCGTTTAAGAGAAGTTCAGTGACATACACACTCACAGAAGAATTATATATATAAAGATATATAGATAGATATACGATTTTATAGTAAAACACAAAATAATATTATATCAGATGACAGGCAAAGACTATGACACAATAAAAATTTTGTTAGCAAACATCATAAAAATGACAATACGTTGAAAAACACTTCAAAAAAACTATAAAAACTTAATCTATAAAAGAGGTCGGCAACAGGACTATTCAAAAAAGCCTTCAATAAGTCAATTTGAATTTAGTGTAATTTCATTTCACATCCTACAAGTTTTACTTTTGCGACTTTAAGTTAGTACCCTTTGCCTCGGTTAAAAAATATCATTGACGTCATTGTTTTGTCCAGCCAACACTTAGGAAAGGATGTGGAAGGCAACACCAAACATTTAGCGTCACCAACGGAACGGAAGGATATTAAAATGATTGTTTTATGCAAGGCAGTGTTGCCATGATTATAATAACTGGCGTACGGACGGCGTACAGTACAGAACAGACGCTGGGAGGTGTGAGTTACCGCCAAGGACACAAATGGCCGTTATTTAGGGGCAGTAGCCTCCACCTGGCATGCCGCTGCCACGTGCGCATTATCGCCCAGCCACGAGATTTACATGGACAACAGCTTTGTTGCGACGGACGTAAAGATTGTTGATTGTTGCTCTTACATACGTTTGTATATTTTTACTTATTCACTTTTACATACCTATGTTGTTCAGTATGCTAATAACGCACCGAGAATAGAGAGTTAAATATACTCATATTTCTAAGAATTCTAAAAATTAATGAGCCAACTTTTTTAACTTTATTTCTTTTATATATCTTTTATAAAAATTACTAACTTAACTACCTATATTTTATAAGTTAATCCTGTAAATAAAGGATGTCAAAGACTCGTATTCAATGATAATTGAATAGCTCATGATCGTACATGAACATGAGGAATTCTGTCCTTCTTATTTCTAGAAACTATTATGTAATTAGTTGCGGCCTACAAAAAAGTATGACTGCACTCAAAAACCTACATTAAATCAAATGATTCATTAGGTCACGAAACCGCAAACGTTTGTAGCCTTTCATTTGACACAAGTTTGAATGACGTCTTTGAGTACGTGTTTATCCTTAACATGCTCGCATTTTTCTGGTTAAATCAACATCTCGTAGGTATTGTCTTTGTATGATCGTTAAGTTTTTTTTTCACTCGTAATCTTACTGTTCAAACAATCGACATGATGACAATCAAAAATATCGCCTCGCATTCGTCTATGTGTACGACCAAAAGCAATAAACAATCAGTACATGGGGACAAGGCGAACCCTCAGATCAAACACATTTTCAATTCTCATCAAAAAAGCAAAACGTTATGACGTCCCTAATAAAAACCGCTCGCAATATTCGCTGTACTCGCAGCAATATCGTAATGAACACCCTGTATACACGGCGGCCATTTAATCTCGCACCTGTATCGCGCTGTATAATGTGCGGTGCAAGGCAAGCGATTTGGCGTTGAAAAGTTGTCACGCGTAAAATATAGCAGTAATTTAAGTACGTCATAGTGTTCTCCTGTTTTTTCTCTCAATCTAACGTTGTGTATTGTCTGGTCTAGAATATACAAATAATACTATCTACTACAAGACTACTGTATAGTCTCGGCATTATGATAATTTATAAAATCTATCTATTTTCTTTCGTGGAGGAAGGCTATCTCTCCTTGTATCAATACCATATTCAAATATAAATGCTTAAATGAGGGCTTCTAAAGAAAGTTTTAAAGAATTATTTATCGGTTCAATGCACGAACTTTATTTATTTATTGACGTTTCGCAGCCTTTTCAGGTCTGCATCGTCAGAATAATAATTTTTTTATTTACTTTGTCGACCTACCTTCGAAAGACTTTTATTGAACGTTCGATTATTATATTATATTTCATTGAAAGATTTTTAAAACTTTATTGTCTATGTATGAATTTATTAGTTAATTTAATAATTAAAGTACTTTATTTAAAATTCGGTTTGTAATTTTGAGTTTATTTATTTGACCCTATCTACCGTAAACTACCACCGGTTCCAAAATTGGGAGATCTTTCTGAGAAGTACCGGCGAAACAAACTCAGAGAGGTTTCCTATCTCCTTCTTATGTTAAATAATGCAAACAAAAAGAACTAATAGTGTCTGTTGGTCTTGCAGTGTGTGCTGGGGGTTGGGATTTTATCTCTTGTATAATGGGTTCCTAAGCTGGTGGTATACACCAACCATCTTCTCAGTTGAATCGCCGTACAGAAGAAGAAGAATGGTCCCCGACTTGGGCAATCGCTATCGCCTGTCACCTGTACCAGCGTTCCAAAGTCCGGTCGCTAAACGGTCGGCCGTTAGCTCGTCCTAAACAAATACGGCCATCTGCGTAAGGGAGTTTCAGCCACATTAAAACATTGTTTAGGCGTCCAACATGTGTCATTAGCCGGATCGCTGATGTTGGAATTACTCTGTTTTTCTTCATTGCGATTACACCCGTAATCAACAATATATAGGAAGGTAATGGGCTCCTATTCTAAACGGCCACGTGAAATATTTTAGTGTTGTATCAGTTGTTTGTTACATACTTCGTTGCGTGTCGTTTGTGCTGTTCATTTAAATTTATATTTTTGATTGCAAATAGTGTTATTGAAAATTATAGAAGAAGAAGTCACCCGAAACGTTATTATTCAGTAATAATTTCAGATAAACATCTGAATTTGTCTCTATATATAGTCGAGTAAAACGAAATAAAATTTTCGTTTTCTTTAAAATTAGTAGTTTTGCGCTGTTTTTACAGATACAATAAAACATAAACAGATAATAATATGATAATGGGCCAATATGAAAAATAGCTAAAAATTCAGTGGAGCTTTATTCTATAAAATATTTACATTTAGTGTTATATTGGGAAAAACAACTAAAAAAAATTAATTTTATCACAATAAAATTGCATTTTTATGGCATTATTAGGGACTTCAAGAATACAAAAAATACTGAACTTAAAAGATAAATATTTGTTTTATACAATAGTGTTTGACGCAAGTTACAAATACGATATTTAACAAGAGATTTTCTTTGTCAAACCTTCGAAATGAAATATCTCATTTCTGTAATTTTGGACATTTATTTGGTTTTTCACTTTAACACGACGATATTATGTAGTTAACCTAACAATAGTATTACGAACATGTTTTAATATTCATTGTTAAAAACGTGCA